GGGGGTCACTAATTCAAGTTTGATTGTGAGTCAAGCTTGATTCAGGTCCTCACAGATCATGCACCTATGAATAGTAACTCCTCAAGAGGCCTGGAAAATAGCAATTTGTTAGATAGGTGGTTTAAAAATTGTAATCAGTCAGTCAATCAATCAGAGGTTTGCTATACATTGAAACCAACCTGGTTGCACATAACAACGATCTAAAGCAGTGGTAGTAGTTAAAACGTCTTTATTAGAACTAAAAAAACTTACCAAATTAATATAATACATGGCCCAAGTAACCTGGCCTGGATAAATCTACATTATGCTAAACATAATAGCTTTCTGGTGTAGTATGTCTTTTGGATCAACTGACCCTGTGCAGCATATCTTGACTGATCTTTCCCTTTAAAGGGAAAGAAAAACAAACAAAATCCTTCCCTGCTCATATTCTACATTTTTCCTAAACTGCTTCTAATAATCTTGAGAAATGGAAAGCTTCCTTTCTGCTCCCCTGAGAAAGAGAAGGGAAATGAAGATTTCCATTTCTTTCTTGTTGCTATGTGGTAGAGCACATTAGCAATGCTTTAAAAAACATTGCTGATGCATTAGCAATAATCGAAAAGAAATGGAAAATTCCCTCTCTTCTCCTCCACAGGAGATTGGCAAGGAAGTTTTCAATTTCTCAAAATTGTGAAGCAACTTACATAAAGTGCCTTAACCCATCCACTATGATTCAGTCCCATCAATCACAAATGCTGGAACCAAACCAAAATGGAGTGGTCTTATCCCCCCCCCAAAAAAAACACCTCTTGACAGGAGCCCCAAAAGGTGCGGGTAGGCATTGATCAGGGGTGGGGTGGTTCATGATGGCATATATATCATGTTGGAAAAGAAGTAAACTTGCCCATCCCCCAATCAAGGGACAAATGCCTATATAGTTACACCTTAACACAGAGAGAACAAATTTAACCCTATTTTGCAAAACATTTAACCCAAAAAGAATGCCAAAAAAGATGACAGCCTTGTTCCTTCATGCACATTCCAGGCTAGCATTACTTTGTTTGGCACTTTAATCTGACGGAACCTTTAGTTTGTATAGTGCCTTCTGTCTCAACAGTGCAAGACAAATTTAGTCTCACTTTGGCACATTTATTATACTGAGGAGTAAAATTGTCATATTATGGCAGAACTGTAACATTACCCACAGACTGTGGTGTCTTTACATTCCCCATCTATATTTCCTTTGATATAATCTGGAAATATTCTCATTATTTTAACCAAATAATAAAGTGGAACAATATGGTCGCTCTCATTCTTTCTAACTTTTATTGCATACCACCTTGGGAGGGTATTCCTTGCAAGGTAACAAACACATCTACTGAGTAAATAAATAAATATTTTTCCTATTTAATTCTCAAAATGTAAAAGCTTATTTGATACACTCCCTCATAGGTACCCTGGATTTCTAGTGCATACCTGATTTCTATTCCTGGAGGAGATTGTAGGGTCATGAACATCAGCCAGAAGATCAGTTGCTCACATTGACTTGAGTTTCACAATTACTCTGCTTCACAGAGCTTCAGTTTTAGTCTGGGCCCAGACCTATTCCCTTGCCTTCTCTAAAGCAGCTCCTTTAAATTCAGGAGACATTTAAGTTAAGATGGTTTCTTAATGTCCCAAAGCCTAGAATAAAGTCTTCCTTCAATGAGAATTTGTCAAACTTACTTTTCTTTAAAATGGTGCATTGAAGTACAGACCAGCCATCAGTTCTGTGGAGGAAGCCATCCTTTGATTTCGCTTTCCCTAAGGCAATGATATTCTGAGCATACAAATGCTAGTGTCATATGTTCAGAACAGTAAAATCTATAGCGTGGTCACAAAGAGAAATAGTATATTTATATGTAGGATGTTTTCTTTTTAAGAAAAGAATAAAAATCTTATATCTGTCCTACATCCCCACATTCTACTTTCACCCACTCACTTTGAAAGTAGAAAGTAGGTGTGTAGGACAGAACCTAGGAAGCTGGGCTGAGGGCGAAGGCCAGGTCTGTTTGCATGGATGCCTTGCTGAGTTTTTTTCCCTGGGCTTTATTTTTTTTTCCTGACCACATGGCCTGGGGGTGGGGTTGTCCTGAGATAGGCAGAACAGTTTCCTGTTGCTTTCATTGGTAGTTCCCACAACATCAAGATTGGTTTTTCCACAAATTGTGTCATTTTGCAAAACTGCAATGCTTTGTTTGCAAGGATTTTAAGGGTGGAGAAACATTTTCTTTTGGAATGGTTGGACAGTTTACCCCTTTTGTGCATGTGTGTATGTGTGCATGCATGCCTTACGTATGCTTTGCTTATGAAAAGGAATGTTTTTCATAAAAACATTGTGTGCAAATTATGAAGATCCTGAGTGGGGGGGGAGTGTCCCATTTCCTACTCTAATTTTGAGAGAAAGAAAGCTTGTGAGGCTTGAAAATTCCTCATTGAGGTATTTCAGGGACAAATGGAATGGATGAGAACAAGGAATGCACTCTTTATATGTCTGCTAGAAATATGTAAAAACTCTCATTTCTGAGGTACTAACTGAGATACTAGTTAGGACGATGCTAGCTAGGAAAGGGGGAATAAAAATAAGTGAATCCATAAAAAAACAGAACTTATGGACAGAACCGAATAGGTACTACGGAGATACAGAGAGAGAGAGAGAGAGAGAGCAGAACTTATGGACAGAACTGAATATATGTTTGTTGGTTAACCATCCCCGTTCTAAAAATGTAATAACTAGAACCACAACTTTTTCACAGGTACTATGGGGATACAGAGAGAGAGAGAGAGAGAGAGAGAGAGAGAGAGAGAGATCTGTGGAAGTAGAGCAGAAGACAGAAAGGATCCCTGTGAGGATAACTAATGCATGTTTAACTTGGACAAAGCTGGTTATACAGTGGAAGTGAAGAAGAGTTAGAGCAGAAGACAGAGAGGATCCCTATGAGGATGACTAATGCATGCTTAACTTGGACAAAGCTGGTTATACAGTGGTGCCTCGCTTGACAATGTTAATTCGTTCCAGCGAAATTGCTGTAGAGCGAAAACATCGTCAAACGAAATTTAAAAACCCATTGAAATGCATTGAAAACCATTCAGTGCATTCCAATGGGCTGAATACCTGCTCGTCCAGCGAAGATCCTCCATACGGCGGCCATTTTCGGTGCCTGTAAAGCGAGGAATCCATCCCAGAAAACAGCGGGGGGCCATTTTCTTCAGCCGGTGGCCATTTTGAAACCTGACAATCAGCTGTTTGCTGATTGTCATAAAGCGAAAATCGTTTCCCAAAGCAGGGAACCGATCATCATTAAACAAAAAAGCCCCATTTAAACCATGGTTTTACAATCGCAAAAGCAATTGCAAAAACCTAATCAAAGCCCCATTTAAACCATCGTTTTACAATCACAAAAGCAATTGAAAAACCTAATCATGCAGTGATTTCCTCGTTAAGCACGGCAATCGTTAAGCAAGGCACCACTGTATGTGTTAGTAAATGAATATGTTTTGGCTTTCCATCTGAAACAAAGACATGTGGATAATTTGAAAGGATCTGTTGAATTGAAAAACCTAATCATGCAGTGATTTCCTCGTTAAGCACGGCAATCGTTAAGTGAGGCACCGCTGTATGTGTTAGTAAATGAATATGTTGTGGCTTTCCATCTGAAACAAGGACATGTGGATAATTTGAAAGGATCTGTTGTTTTCAGCTCCATTAGAATGTATGTATTTTCAATTTTAAAAGAGTGTGAAGAGCACCTTGGAATATTTATTAATTCATCAGTCTGGCTTTCCAAGAAGAAACATTAGTAATTTGCCTAAAAGGGATGAAACCTACATGAGAGCAATACTATCTGGTGAAACACTTGAAATAATCTATCTCAAATGTCACAGTTACTGCACCATGAAAAGAAGATTTTGTTCATGTGCCTTACTTCGCAATTCTATGCATGTTTATTCAGGAATAAATTCCATTGAGCTGAATGGTATTCCCACAGCCACAGTTGCATGAGCAATTGCTAAGACACCTTATGGACACCTTATGGACATCTTATAATTTAGCTACCTATATGCATAATCAGAAAATCAGAAGAAATATATAAATATATGCATTCCTGTGACATCCTTATAGCCTGGAAGCCAACCAACGTTTCTTCTTCTTCCCCACATTGAACCACTGCCCTGTATGCTTCTTCTACTTTATAATCCTATTTGCAAAACTTAATGCTTTCAACTTTGTAGAAACAAAGAAAATGTGAAAGAGACATAGGTCTTCATTGTAGTTCTGCATAAGGGGAACATCAGATCCCAGTGCAGCATAGTTATTAAGACAACAACACATTCATTCCAGATTCCTATTATGTAGTCTCCCTTTCCTCTTTCATCTCTTGCATACAGATCATGTAGCTTCAAAATAAAATTGTGTTAGAATCCAAAGGCATGGTTTTGATGAAGACATTAATCATCCTGAAATTAATTAAGTTTCCAATGAGCTATTAAGTAATAATTAAAAACTTTTGTATCCAACTGATGATATATGATTGCATATGTTCCCAGAAATATTCTCTTTGTCCCCATCTCTCTTACTGATATCCATCCCCAATGTGATGTTGACCACAAGGGCAACGCCAAGTTTTTTTCATACAACAATCTTCTGTGGTGGTGGCAGAGTAAGAGCCTCATTGTCTTCCTCTACCAACTTCCTTTAAAGATGCTGTATTTAATGTATGATGTATTTAATGATGTATTTAATTCTCAGACCAAGGTGTCCATCCTTCAAAAACCTGTGAATCATCATCTTCAGATGCCCCTTTATTGTGTGCAGCTGAATAGATGAAATAAGGATTAATTTAAATTTATACTACTATGAAAAGGATATCAGATATCTGAGTATGCTTTGGCTGCAAGTAGTCAGAAAATGGAAGTGAACTATTGTCTATTCATCCATGCTTCTTTCTTTTTCTTTTTCTCTTTCCCTTTCTGTTTAGTGGTTTTTGGGCAGTTTGTATTTTTCCAGACATCGCTCCATGATGTGGTTGAGGTATACGATGGCCCAACGCAACAGTCGTCTTTATTATCGTCGCTTTCAGGATCTCACTCAGGTATTGCATAAAAGAATGGCCACATCTTCTTTGTTTATATGTCTTTACTGTTTATTAAGCAAAGATTTATGCCAGATATAATGGTTGGTAAGTTTTTGGTTTTAAATGTGGAATAGGTAGGTGGAAATGAAAAAGTTCCCAAACCAATCCCCCCATGTCTATTTTCCACCAAAGTTGGACTGACAAGTGTCTCTGGCGGTCCAATTCTCTGTATGCTTATTTGCAGGCAAGTTGGCATAATGTGAAGTGGGAGTGTTCTGCCAGGAAGCCAGCATGGCATAATCAACCATGTGGTTCACAGTTGTGCAATTGATCACGCTGTTCACAATTGCACAATTGATTGTGTGGCTCATGTTGGAACGTGCAACACGCCTATGAAACTGCTTTGTGAATTTTACTCCTGCCTTGCCATGATTTTTTCCCCCTGCTACTTCCACAGTTTCACTTTATGCTCATGTAGCTGCATGAGAGGATTTCAGCTGATTAGCTCACTCTGATTTACATGCAAATGTGGATATAAGATTGCTGGGGGTGAGGGAAGATATCCAGATCAGCAGGTCTGGAGGACTGAAAGATTAGTGATTGTTGTTCTGCTTTTCTCAAGAACATGAATGTACAAGTACAGTAGGACCACAATACCCATAGGAGATTGGTTGCTGAAAAACAGAGCATGGTCTCTGTTTCTCTCTAATAACTAATGGTACTAATACTGTGGTAGGGCGATCCTACTGTATAACACCCTGTTTCCTAATACCACATTAATTTGAGAAGTACATAAACTTTTTTTCCTAATTGTGTAGTAATCATTCTGTCAGAGAGTTAATATTGAATGTTGATTTTTACTTGATTGTGGAGACTCACTTGGAAGAGACCAAAAGCTTGTTGTAATACAAGTTTTTCTAGATTGCATTGTAAGATACACAGCGAATAGTATTTCAGGATTATTGGCAGAAAACGGTTTCTGAGATACATTGTTTATTTTCTTGAGTAGGAGAATCCCTTCCATTGAGCTCAGGGAACCAGATTACCGTCCGTTTCACTTCAGTTGGACCTGTAACTGCTAAAGGATTTCACTTCGTTTATCAAGGTATGAAACAGAAGTGCCTCAAACTTATTTCAGTTAATGATTTTCACTTTTCATTCATGTTTTAAATTCTTATTTTACCAACAAAGAAGTTCGATGGAAACCACAAAAATATAAAATATAGATTGAGAAAATATTAGGGATGTGCACCATCCTTTGGAAAATGTAAAAATATGAACCAAACCAGGGCATTTATGCCTTTGAGGGATGGCCATGGGTTGGGGCAAAGAGGCAAGTGGATGAACAGGTCAGAACATCACCCCATAGTATCCTGATATCAAATCTAGCACTCACATGTCATGACTAGAAACTAGGGATGGAGACTCGAGATGAGAGACTCACTGTCAAGTCGGACTTAAATCCAACCAGTGATTTGATTCAGACACATTTCAGGTTCTCTCCCCCGCCCCCCAATTTCTTTGACTCAACTCATGACTCAGAATCCACCCACCTTGACTCAGACACATTTCAGGTTCTCTCCCCCCCCCCATTTTCTTGGACTCATGACTCAGAATCCACCCACTCCTTTTTTTTGGGGGGGAGGGACTCTGATTTGGGGCTTGAGACTCAGGATTTGGTACCAAAGACTTGGATTTGGACTTGGTACTTGGTATCAATGACCTGGACAAGGGACTCAGACCCAAAGACTTGTCAACATCCCTGCTAGAAATGGAGGAAGATGGCAACACGGGTGCGTATATGCTTTACCTTGCTTGCCTTGCATTCCACAGTCATTGGTGAAATCCTCAAGATCTGATGGAAGCCGCACCACTAAGAGTGGAGGTAGAGAAAGAAAGGACAACAAGTGACTAGAAGAGCAGGCACCCTGTATTACTCTTTCAAAAAGAAATCAATGGAAATTGATCTTCTAAAAGTCTCTTACTCACCTCCTTTCTTGCAGTTTAGCACTGTTTTTTTCTCCTGGTGGCTAAAAAAAAAAGAAAATAAAAATAAAATAGGGTGCCCAGCTCTACTGAGTACAGCTGGCCAGAAGCTGCACTGCTCTCCTACACCATTCAGTGTACTACCTGGCTTTGCTGTTTGCGTTCCATCGTTCTCAGGAATCAGGTTTTTCACAGAGATCTGGAACTGCAAAGCCACGGCCAAAGGCCTGGACAGAGAGTGTGTCAGTGTGACCCACCCAAGGGGGACAACGTTGGTTGGGTATCAATCTTTGTGCTCAGATTGTGGCAAGGACAGGATTATGGAGGATGACTGTATTGCTTCCTGATAAGTTCTGTCTGGCTGTTTGTGTGTCATATTCCTATATGTACAGTATTTGTGTTTGAACTTTTCTGTTTGCTACTAGCACTTTGAAGAAGCTGAAACAGTCTATAAATCCAAAAGCAGATCTTACAAAACTAAGGATTTCAAACTTGAATTAATCAGGGAAGGGGGCGACAACTAGAAATTGTAAAAGAAGGAAGAAAACTTTTCTTTATTTTATTTGTTATTTAAGATATTTATATGCCACCTTTCTCCTAAAGGATCCAAGGCAGCTTTCAGTATCAAAAGAAACAAAGTTAAAAGAAAAATAAAAAAGTATTACAATATTTAAAAAGTATTACACAAATGTCATATTAAAACACATAATGAGAACAATATTAAAAACACAAAAAACACAAAATAACATGCTTTAAAAATCCCCTTGATAAAACTAGTCATTAAAAGGAAGGCCTGCCTGAATAGAAAATTCTTTGTCTGCTTGTGGAAGGAATGCCAGTCTGTCCTCCTGTGGGAGGGATTTCATTTGTCTGCTTGTGGAAGGAATGCAGAGATGGGGCCAGTCTGTCTTCCTGCGGGAGGGAGTTCCAGAGTTTGGGAGCAGAAACAGACAAGGTAGTCTCGCATGTCCTCACAAAACATGCTTTTGAGGGTGGTGGGACTAAGGCCTTTCCTGATGATCTTAATATCCAAGTAGGATAATAAAGGGATATATCCAAGGATATCAGCAAGTGGGATCTGAAGGCCTTAGGAATGGACTAACAGATGGGAAATCCTGACATCTGACTGTTCAGCCTGGGGCAGGCGGTGCAGCATGGCCTCTCCCAATTTGAAGAGACACTTGTTCAGCAGGCCAAGGCAAAGAGCCAGTCCTGAAACAGATTGTATTTGTCTTCAATGTGGAAGGGATTGTCACTTTCGAATTAGCCTTCTCAGCCACACTAGGTGGTGTTCCAAGACCTCTAATTCAGAGCACATTACCATAGTCTCTTGAGACTCAAGGATGCCTACAGGACATAAAGGGAGATACTATTTTTTACATAGCTTGGACCTAAGCCACTTAGGGCTTTGTAGGTTAAAACCAGCCCTTTGAATTGTGCTCAGAAATGGATTAGCAGTCAGTGGAACTGCTGTAGCGGGGGTTATGTGATCCCTATAACCAACCCAAATTTGCAATCTGGTTGTGGCATTTTGGACTGCTGGAGTTTCTGAATGCCTTTCCCCTATTTTAGTTATACAACAGTACCTCAGTTTACGAAATTCATACATTCTCTGGAACATTACGTAATGTGGAAATTTCGTAAACAAAAAGTTGATTTGCCATAGCAGCAGCCACCGTGCTACAAACCTCCAGGCATGGGGAAGCTTCCTTCACAAACTGAAAGAAACTGGAAAAAAAGTAAACCGAGACATTATTTCTAACGGATTTCTGTTCGTAAAGCGGAAATTACATAAACCGACGCGTATGTAAACCGAGGTACTACTGTAAAGTTCAAATATATGTTTTTCTATCAGGAGATATATAAAAGCTTGAAAGACATGGAAATATATCAGTAATTGTGTTGTTAAAAATTGAAACATTTCACTTCATTCCCATAATTTCTCCTTTCAAAGAATCAGAAACAAAATACCAGCATGTCAACATTTGCTGCTATATTTTTATCTTATAGGTTTTGAATATGAATTTGAGAAGCAGAGTAGACATTCAAAAAACCATAGCCAATGACTGAGTCCCATTGCCGGGAGAAAGTTGGCATAGAAATGCAATAAATCAAAAATAAAATAACATTAATTTATCCTCTACTCATCAGGCTTGGAGCAATATGAGCTGAAGATGGAATCTTAGCTAAAGAAAGAACTGTAATCTATTATACAGAGGTGTCACAAATATTTCTAAATAGCTACATATATATTTAAAGATACTTTCAGTGTTTATCTAGACTGAAATACTTTCCCCCCCATTAATCAGTGCATGCCAATTCTTATGTATTTTAGCGGTTCCAAGAACAAGTGCAACACAGTGTAGTTCGGTTCCTGAACCACGGTTTGGCAAAAGGATTGGAAATGAGTTTGCAGTTGGTTCTTTGGTGCTTTTTGAATGTAATCCAGGCTATATACTTTATGGATCAATAGCAATCAGATGTGACACAGTGCCCAATGCATTGGCACAGTGGAATGATTCCCTTCCTACATGTGTCGGTGAGTAATTAAAGCTATATTTTTTACATAAACCTCATTACTCTCTAATGAAGTATTATTTAATGATGTGACCCTCCTGGTAAATCTCTCTTTTTCTTTTATTGTGTCTTATTTTATTTTTTCAATCTTTGTGTTATGCACAGAATTCTACTGTGTTAGGATTCTCACCAACTAGAGAGAATCGTCATTGTGAAGGCACCCTATGCAAGCATTCAGTTCCCCCCCTGTCAAGGAGGCACCATGAAGAATTGAACTCCCAACCTCTGGGATGCCTAAACCATTGAGCTATCCAGCAGTTCACTTGTGCAAGTCCAGTTGCAGCAGTGATTCTACCTCCTTAAGCAGGAGGAAATGATGTTCCCTCACATCTACCATTTGAATCCTTATCCACACACCCATATGTGATTGATTACCTCTGCAGCTTTTTTCCAACAAGATTTTGGCCCAAGCAAGAGTGAAATCAGGAATCTGTTTCTTCTTCTTTTATTTAGGACTTTACTTTATTTTTTTAAAAAAAATTATATTGATCAATACCAATTATCCAGAATTACTGTTGTGAAGTGATGAAACCCATGGGCTCTTGAAAACATGATGCTTTTGTGCAAAACTGCACCTGGCTGGATAGCTCAGTGGTTTAGATATGTGGCTGCAGAGCCAGAGGTTGGGAGGTTGATTCTCCACGATTCCTCCTGCAAGTAAAGCCAGCCTGTGTGCCCTTGGGCCAGCTTCACAGTTCCAGAAATGCCCCCAGAAGAAAAAAAGGGAATGGTAAAGCACATTTGTGCATTTTCTACCTGTAAAACCCTGAAAAGGGTTGCCATAAGTCAGAATTGACTTAGATGATGATGATGATTACATTTCCTATCAAAGTTTTTCACTATGTCAAGCAGCCTCAATCAATAAGAATGAAGAACCTAGCAAGTTAACTCGCCATTGTAAATGGAGCAATAACATATTTTATCACAAGTAGGTTTTTTTTCCTCTTTATCTGCAGAAAACACTGATATAGCACACACTCACTTACCTAAATACATTTCCCATCAACTCTGCAAATGCTAGACATGTCTGGAGCTCTGACCAGTCCAATGTGGTATTCATTCCAACATCATTCTGAGGTCATTGCTGAAACTGGGCAGTGGAAGCAGCTTCTCCTCCAGGAACAGAATCTATAGGCATAGAATACTGTCTGTTTTCTCCGAGCACTGTTGTGATATTTTTTTTATAGTCTTACTGAGTTAACCCATATTTCAACTCTTGTAATGTCCTGTTACAGTAAAAGCTTTATAGCTATCAGCATGAGTTATATTGTTTTACTTGAATTGATGTTAGTCTTCCACACTGTAATTTGATTAGAACAGGGTGGGAAATTAGCATGTAATATTTCACAATAGTTGTGCGCTCTACCTTTCATGCTGACAACTCCTATTGGCTGGTTTCTTTCTTCTTTTCCTCCTCGCCATCCCCTTCCTTTGCCTCTTTTCACTGGAGTGTTACTCTGATATTTATAAATGTGATAAGGAGATGGAGAAATTTGAAGGCTTCTGGATACTCTTCAAAGTACTGCCTTAATCTTTAAAGCCCTCCGTGGGACCGCCATAAGATTTGCTCATCCCTCTGTGCCCAGAGATTCCATTGGTTGATCTAGCCAAGTGTCACCATGATATATGACAGGTGGTTAGGACAGAATGGGTCTTTTCAACAATGTTCATGGAATACGTTCCCTGCATTAAACTCACTGTCTTTTCAGCACCAGCCAAACATTTCTAAGCCTTTTAAACCAGTGGTCCCCAACCTTGGGCCTCCAGATGTTCTTGGACTTCAACTCTGAGAAATCTTGGCAAGCAAGATGGTGAAGGTTTCTTGGAGTTGTAGTTCAAGAACATCTGGAAGCCCAAGGTTGGGGACCACTGTTTTAAACCATTACTCTACTGTAGCTGTATATTGGTTTAGCACTTTTGTATCTGTTCCCCTCTTTTTGTCCCTAGGCTGAGGGTCTGGTTCTGTTGTGTCCTATTCTCCTGCTTTCTGTTTTAAAGTAATGTACTCCTTTTATGGATGTGTTTTTGTGTCATTTTTGTGTCATCTGTGCTTTAATTTTTATTTTTAAACTTTTGTCCAGGAGCTACCTTTGCTCATAATTCAGGGAATGACTGATATAAGTCAGCTTGTAGACTGAATAAAGTAAATAATAAAGGTTGAATTTGACCCCAGAAAGATTTGCAAGCCAAAAGCATTAGTTGCTCTTTGTTGGTGCACATCACTCTTCCAGTACAGATCATAAATATGTATGAGCTTAAAGCAGCACTGAACAAAATCAGGTTAATAATTGAAATGCTAGACATGTGCATTTTAAATGGCCACAGTTCTCTAGCAAATGCCTCAATGTTTCCTTACAGATATCAGCTATCAGTCATTGTGTCTGCTCTTACTTTTACCAGTAATTATTTAAACTGTTTAAGTGACACTGACCTTTAGTTTATTCATGTAGTCTCTGACAGATTCTATCAGTTATGTGCACTACAAAATGTAGCTTCTGTATTCATTACTCAGATAAGTTTCCTTCTTCTGCATCTTCTCAAAGTCCTCATATTTGTATCTAATGAAACGAGCTCAAGGACTTGATAATGTTGTTTCACTGGAGTGATATATTGGCTGCTAATGGCACTGATAAAACTCCTCATCAATCATTTCTTCAAGCCATTAAAATACCAGCAGAATATCTGTATTTAGATGACAGCCTAATGTGATTATATTAGAATGTCGAGCTTCTTGACCACAAGTATCATTCATGTTTAGCATCAAATATCAGAGCAGTACCCAGCTGAATTATTTCTGTTTATTTTGGCTATTACTGTCATTGAGCGTGAGCCTGAGTTTTATTCTGCCATCAGGAAAATCCTGAGAAGACCTCCAGGCAGAATGCTTTTATTGATGGAAGGGTGGGGGAGAATTTTAGAGGAAATTCTCCAACTCTGTCCTCCTTGGCATCTGCCCTCCCCAGAACCAGCCGGCCCAACATTTTTTGCTGCCTGAATTGCAGGAGCAAAGTGTCTCTCACAGCAACTGATATCAAGGCATGTAGTAGCAGCCAGAGTCACTAAAGTATCATTTTGACAATCTCACAAATTCCTCTTCCTCTTTTTGGCAGTATGACAGTAGTCCATTAAATAACAGTGACATTTTCTGTCCTTTCATAACACCCCTAATCTGTTTCCTGGAGATGCCTTACTCTGCTTAACAACAAGGCTGCTCTGTTGCTTTGTCATCTTTTGGCTGTAAGATGTACAATAGGTCTTCTTGCAAAATATTCCTTCCTGTCTGCTCACCATGCAACCTATGGGACCTCAAGCTGATTCTATGAAACTGTATTTTTCTAATAAAAAATTAATTGTAAAAATCCTTACAAAGAACTGGTCTCTTGAACAGCAGGTCTGGCTAAATCCAGGGAGGGGAGAGGGCCACAAACTAGCTATCTTTAAGAGTCCTACCTAACTGAGCTGTTGTGAGTTCTAAGGAATCACAAAGCCCATGTGTCTGTACTTGCAAAGTACTGGGTAAAAATAAAGTGTTCTTTTAAGGTCAGACTTGTTCAAGGGGCTTATGCTACACACTGCTGAGGTCTTGGGCCTTGCCTCAGCGCAAAGGTGGTAGGTAAGTGGCCTGTCAAACTCTCTGACCGAGTGCTAGCACTCGTAAGTGCTTCTTATGGCTTGGGCACCACAGTCTGCAAATGAAATCACTTCACTGATGATCAAAAGTTTCACTAATTGAAGACTTCTCTTCTTTTCAGTGGCCCCCAACCCATGATGAATTCCATCTGAACCCCAGAACCTTTGTGGGGGAATCAGGACTTTTTTTTTTCATTTCTGAAACTTCCTTCTGCATCTCTTCACTGTTCCCAAGATTGAGCATGCTATCTGCTAAGACACGGTCTCCCTCCCTACAGCATTATACTGACCTGAAAACTTAGTCTTTCTTCTCCACTCTTCCACTTCCTTTCTTCTTCTTCTTTCCTTATTCCATTTGTCTGTCTTCCCCCATAGCTGAGGCTCAGGGTGTCTCATGCCTTCACACCTTCCTGCACAGCAGTGCTGAGAAGCACAGAAAGGAGCTCCTTCTTTCTTGGGTTGTTGGGTATTGGGTGGGGAAATGGAAAAGAGTGTGTGAAAAAGGAGGGAAGGCAAGTTTACAAGTCAGTATAATTAGGCAGGAGGGTGGAGGGGAATTCATCCCAGAACAAGGGATTACCATCTCAGCAACAGGGAAGGAGGGGAGGAGGAAGGAACAGAGTTTTTTTTAAAAGGAAGAAAACCATGTGCCATTATCACCACACTGCCTCCTCTACAGGAGAGAACAAGAGTCCAAATGGAAGGTCGTCAGGCACAGATCCAGACCTTTAGCCACCCAGCCTCAGTCACTGTGTATTTGGGGGGCAGGGAGGAAGATTTCTTTTAAAATAAATGCCAGATTTTGCCATTGTGTGAATTTATCAAGTGTCTAAGGGGTGGTAAATGCCTTGCCAGAGCAACTGGACATGGATTTGCAGCATTTTCACATATTCTGATTGACTGATGCTCTTTTTATATAACATATACTTATTTGTATTTTTTATGCAGTTGAGTTTTTCACTTGAAAGTGTTTCTTTCATGTACTTTAATTCATTTCTGTATATTGAAAAAAGCAGGAATCTAAGGTGAAATGCTGCTGACTTTTCTCTCCCTGAGGTCATGAACTAGAGGATCAGGTTGGGAAAGTGTTCAGATTTATCATGTTTGTAATTTTATCAGCTTTTGTTATAACTTTCCTCTGTTCTGGTGCATAACGTACTAGGAAATCTTTTCCACACTTTGTCCGTTTGCTTCCAGTGCCCTGTGGAGGAATTTTAACCAAGCGCAAAGGAACCATTCTGTCCCCTGGCTATCCTGAGCCCTATGACAACAATCTGAATTGTGTATGGAAGATCACAGTGCCAGAAGGAGCTGGGATTCAAGTAAGAATACATGCAATTTTCTTCTTTTGTCACCCTGGGCACTTATTTCTACAGAGGTTGAGGACATGAAAAATCAAACAAATATCATTTTAACAGGCAATTAACAAGTGTCGCAGTATGATTTGTAATATCGTACTTTCTGGAAGAATTCACTATTATCTGAAAGTCCTAGCGGTGTTCAAAAATCAAGTAATGTTCATCACAATATTAAATTACATTCTACAGATTTAAATAATTAAAATCTGTAGAATAGAAATTAAGTTGTTCCATTTTTCATTCCAAAAAACTGGTTTGTATCATAAAGTTATTGTCCTTTGGAGGAGATTCTATCCCTTGTTTGGATCCTACCCATTGGACCTACCAGCAAAATTAAGGAAATTTAATTGAAACATCCCAAGTTGGTTGAAATAGTGTTGCTTAAATCACACCAAAGTAGGCCCATTGAATCAGTGGGACTGTGGTGAGTGAACCCCACCATAAGATCCATTGATTCAAATGAGCCTGTTCTAGATGTAACATGCTTTAGCATAATAAGTCACAACTAGAGTAAGCCCATTTGAATCAATGGAATGTATGGAGGAGTTGACTTATTAAATCTCCACTGATTCAGTGGGCCTACTCCAGTGGGACTTACTAAGCGAAATAAGAGTTCAGCCATTGTTCTAAATACTATGCAGCTTTTTCACTTGAATAGACCCAATCCATTTGATTTCACAGGAAGATATGAAGACTGCTTCTCTGATTTGCATGCCAAACTTTGCTTTACACATATTTTTCACCTGTGTTTTAATCCACTGCTACTGCTGCTTGGACCTTTCCTTCACTTGGGATCACTGTGGGCTTTTCTGAGTTGCTTTTATAATTTATGGAAATACTGAATTGCTACAGAATGTATGAAATACTGAGTTTGACCATCCAGAGTATCAGTAATGCATTGAATTTGCAGTAGCACGAGCTTAACTTCTACCAGTGTTCAGCAAAGTGATGGCAGATCAAGCATCTATTGAGCCCAAGAGGCATTGGAGTGCCAATATGGGATAGGCTGGCTTAATTTTTAATGTCTTAAATGAGAGAGAATGATATTGAACTGATTAAAATTGCTGAATTGCTATGAGCTACTTAATGAAAAGCTCTGAAGCAACGTCTGTTTTGAATACTAGTTTTTCCCATTAAGCAATAACATTAACATAGTGGAATCAGTGGGACGGGACGTGAACTCAAGAGCTGACATTTCTACACATGTGCACACGTCAGTTTTTTAGGGACCTAGATGGAAGGTGAAGTTAAAAGAAGATCTGTTAACTGGCAACTGCCTCTTTGCATTCCAAAGTTCTGGCTATGAAAAAGTATGGCTTATAGAGTTTCATGTACTTGCGTTTATTGTCACCATAAAAACAACTAGAGCAGGGATGGCAGTGTTTCCCAATTATGAAGATGCACTTTTGTACAAAGCCACTGTTACATAGTACTTTCTGCAAGAAAGGTCCCCCCACCCCAACACTTTAAATTTAGTCATAAACCGAGACTGTCTATGAATGCAGTATTTGTATATATTTTTAAGCCGGTCCTCAGGTTACCAGTTGGTTGTTCAGGAAGCAATCTGCTCATCCATGCTATTTGAATACATAGTAGCAATTGGCATGGTAGATATACCCAAATCTGTGTCTAGTCAGTAACAGATGGTCCTAGACCAGCTGCTTTAAAGGGGATGAGAAGAAATACTTTTGTAGAGAACCATGTGTAACAATCAGATCCTTAATAAGTATGTTTAATATTCCCTTTGTGCAGTACAGTATCTGGAGCACAGGGACATTCTCACTGTGCCTCCTGCCTGTAGAAACAACCTGGTATGGCCTTGAGCAAGCTGCACAGCCTTAGGATGCCCCCAGAAGAAGGGAACAGTAAACCACTTCAGAGTACTCGTTACTTGGAAAGCCCTCAGTAGGGTTGTCAGCAGTCCAAGTTGACTTGACAGCATGTTGTTGTTGTTGTTGTTGCTGTTGCTGTTGCTGTTGTTGTTATTGTTATTAGTATTAGTATTAGTATTAGTACAGTGGTGCCCCACATAGCGAGGGTTAATCCATTCCGGATTAACCCTCGCTATGCGAAATCGTCGCTAAATGGGTAGGGGAAATGTATTGAAACGCATTAAACTTCGTTTAATGCGTTCCAATACCTTTGTTACTTACCCGTTCAGCGAGGATTCCAATTGCCGGCAGCCATTTTCGCGCCTTCGCTAAGCGAGGGCACGGCGTGAAAACGTAAAGTAGCAGCAGAACATGGCTTTCTGGAAACAACACACGCTGAGAAAATAAAGTGCCTCTATGATATGGAGGATTCGGGGTTTTTTAGTACTGATACCCCCCGGTCAGCGTTTCGGCGCCCCCAAATGGGCCGCCGCAATACCCGATCTTCGCAATGCGGGTTTTCCCCATTGCGACGATCGGGGATGTTTCCGTATAGCGATCCCGAAAAAGGGATCGCTATACGGAAACATCGCTATACGGTGCACTCGTTAAGCGAGGCACCACTGTATTAGTATTAGTATTAGTATTAGTATTCGTATTAGTATAGCCAAACTCAGGTCCAAAATTACAAGAACTTCAGACTAGAGATGAACACGGCATGATTCAGACTGCTTTGTCAAAATTTGTCAGGTGCTGCACATTCCCTCTGCCTACCACCTAGCCAGCTGCCTCACTCATAAGCTGAAATGCAGTGGCCAGATCATCCTGCTAGGATGGCTGTCCAGTCAAGGCAGGAGCCTGGACTTCCCTTCCCTGCTTCCTGACCACTCAGACATGGAGGCGGGATGGGGATTCTCGCTACTTAGCCATTGAGTGGTCAGCTGCCAGAGGAGGCAGGGAAGCCAACCTAGGAGGACAGTTGAGCCAACGTGTGCCAACTTGTGAGAGGGGCAGACGGAATGCGCAGCACCACAGGTGCTGTGCCAAGAAAATTTGACAAACCAGGTTGAATCACCTCATGCCCTACTTCAGATCTTTGCTGTTTCTATTTCCTCTGGCAATATTTCCACTTAGGCAGAAAAAAAATGAAATATATAATTAGATTATGCACACAACAGGATACATGTAGAGAGATACTGGATGAATTTCAGCATTAAGTTGAATGTCCAAATGAAATCTTTACCAACTCTTCTTTTTTCAGAATCTTTATGCCAAGTAAAGGAACTACATTATGTTTTTTTTTAAATTTTATCATTAATTTCTACTTCCTTGCAGATACAAGTTATAAGTTTTGCAACAGAACATAACTGGGACTCTTTGGATTTTTATGATGGTGCTGACAATAATGCTCCAAGGCTTGGGAGCTATTCAGGTGAATGAAAAAGAGTACATTTGTGGCGTTCCACTTTATGAGTTGTGCCAGTTCTGAAGATGTCAGCTATAAAGTATTTTGAATCACATTTGTGTGCAACATATAGGTGTTGAGATTGGGAACTGCATGTTAGATTTGTGGTGGTGCCATTGCATAGTACTTCCACAAAATGGCATCTTTTATTACCATCTGCCACAACACATCCTGTATACCATAAGAAATGAACATCATTTCTCATCTATATCCCGTATATTATGAGTGCAGGGTAATGTGAATTATATTTATAGTATATGTCAACAAGGACATATATTTACAAGTGCTAGATAAATGTGCTTTAAAGCACAGTCAAAAAGTGGCTGGATCTTCAGATGTGTGGGAGGGAAGTTGAATACTAAACCTGGATTCACTTCAAGAACCCTCTGAGAACAAAATGTTGATATTTTTTGAGAACCACAGTCACCCATACTTCAGGTTGAAATAAAAGAAAGCTGTGTGGTCATTACACAACACTGCAGGTTCTCTCTTACCACTGCTTCTTTGTTTTATAACCAGAAGAACGCTCCTTCTACCATCAAACAAACTAGCACACATGAAACAGGGTTGCTCTCATTTTGGACTCCAATGCTGGTAAAGCTGATGTTTTAGTGTATCCTATTGCTTATCATGAGGGACGTGGTGGCGCTGTGGGTTAAACCGCAGAAGCCTCTGTGCTGTAAGGTCTGTAGATCTTCAGCTGTAAGATCGAATCCACGTGACGGAGTGACCGCCGTCGCTTGTCCCAGCTCCTGCCAACCTAGCGGTTCGAAAGCATGCAAATGTGAGTAGATAAATAGGTACCACCTCAGTGGGAAGGTAACAGCGTTCCGTGTCTAGTCGCACTGGCCATGTGACCTCGGAAGATTGTCTTTGGGCAAACGCTGGCTCTATGGCTTGGAAACAGGAATGAGTACCACCCCCTAGAGTCAAACACAACTGGACAAAAATTACCTTTACCTTATTGCTTATCAGCTTTTTTTCCCATAAGGGAGAGAGGCAGCAAAAGGATTTAATTCTCTTGTTTCATCTTTTCTAGCACATTCTTGTGTTCCTAATGTACTTGGTTGAACCATGTGGAGTAGCAAAGTTCTTCAGCCGGCCCTGTGATGTGAATAATGAATTATCCCTACATTCTCAAAATATTTTAATGTGCTTCAGGAATGTTCAGTCTTTCTGCCTTTTGGATATTCCAGCATGGCTTTGTTTTACTTCTCTAAAATCCCTCCTGTCCCTTAAAAAGAAAATGAAATTCTTGTGAGGTCTATTTCATGAGGGCACAATCATTCTCATGAAATATATCTTAGAAGACTTTCAAGGTTACTGCATTCAGCCAGGCTTTTGCTGACTGAACCAAGAGCTGAGAAATGGCTGCTAATGGAAAATGCTACACATTCTGCTGTTCTCTAAAGAATTTTAAAAGTATTTTAAATGGCTTTAAATGAATGGACTTAAATATTATATGCTTAACTGGATTTTAATATTCTATTTTTTTCTGGTTTTCTTTATATCAGTATCTTTTTGAAAACTTTGTTGGGCTCCCGCATTAGGAGAAAACAGAATAGAAAAATTTAAAATATATGAAAAATGATATAAATATAATGTATGTGTACATCAGTATGTGTTTCTATTTTATTTTATATAAAATTTTATTCTTTTTGGTTCTGTTGACAATTAATTTGTTATCTGGAACCAGTCTGGAGTTTTGATATAATCAGTGGGTCCTCTTTTAAGGAGAAAGGCAGGACAAAAATATTAAGTAAGTAAGTAAGTAAGTACGTACGTACGTACGTACAAATAATTTGTGCCTAAATACTGTATTGACACAATAATTTATGGTCTTCATTTCCTCCAGGAACTACAATACCTCCACTTCTCAACAGTACATCCAACAATTTGTATCTCAACTTTCAATCAGATATCAGCGTGTCAGCTGCTGGATTTCATTTGGAGTACACAGGTAATGTATTTGTGATACATCCTACAGGTATAGAAGTAAGAATAATTTGGGAGACATAAAGAATTACATGCAAAGTAAGCCTTGATAGGCAGTGTAATGCAAGAATATTGGCCACTCATTTTTCTTTTAAAAATTATTCTTTATGACTTAAGCTATACTCCTCTTGTCTGCATTCAGTACTGCTACTGAGCAAAAATTAAAATAAAATAAATCATTTTTTAAAAAAAAACACTTAATTTTGTCGAAGACATGGAGTTAATGATCAGCATGGTTGTGCAATCCAATTTGTCTCAAAATATTTGTCATACAAATCAGGATTGTTGCATTCCCAAGGTGATTTGGCGATGGGTCTGATAGGATTTGTTCTGAAATTTCTGGAGATATTTGTATGCAGCTGTATGCTTCCAGACTGAGAAAAAATATTGAAAATGTGGAACATTAATCATAGAGAACGGGATGGGTGGGAAGCACTATGCAGGACCATTAACTTCAAAGAAGTGATGAACCATAGGTTCATAGCCAAAGGTCTTACCACTTTCTGGGTTTTCCAGGAGAAGCTTTTGTTTTAGCAGAGGTGTCAGCTGTTGATCTTCTGCTTTAGAGGTTTCTTCTTTTTCTACAGCAGCTGGTGCTAAATATTTTTGTTCACATTTCAGCATTTTTAATCCCCCAAACAGGGATTTGTAAGGGTGTTTAAACTGACCTTGGGATAAAATGGGACTTCTTGAACCACTGAAGATCTCCTCCCTGATAATATACAAATATCCCTGCTTTGCCCTGTTTGAAGACTTTTTTCCAAGTCTCTGCACATCCTTAATAATCAGGAAAAGGAGACCCCGGATAAAACATTGAATTGTATTTTCCATCCATAAAGAGAGTTCCTGTTAATTTCCCTAGCTGCCATTTCCTCAAAGCAGGAAATGCCACTTTCTCCTTTCCGACTTTTTCTTTTCAGTCACTCTACATGCCAAAATGTTTGCCTGGAGATTGCTCTGAATATGCCAATAACCTCACTCTTCTTTCGCAATGAGACCATTTGCTTGAGAGTTTTGTCACTTGCTGCCTGAGTTTGCTATTAGAAGATGTGATGAGGCAGGATGATACCCAGTCATAATCATGTTGTGAATATTTATTTATTTATTTATTTATCTATCTATCTATCTATCTATCTATCTATCTATCTATCTATCTATCTATCTATCTATCTATCTATCTATCTATCTATCTATCTAT